TCTCAGCGTTCTTTTGTGTGTTCTGATGTTACATTTTTTGAGTTTGTTCCTTTCTTCTCTAGGTCGGATACCTCTTCTCCTCGGTTGCCATCACCCCCTCTTCTAGTTCCCGTTCCTCTTGTTCCGGTCGTGACCCAGTCTTCGCCTCCAGTGCAGCTACCTAAGAGAGGACCACCTATTCGGCAAGTGTATACACATCGTCAGGCATCAGCTCCTCCCTTAGCTTCGTCACCGTCGACAGATCCGGTAGTTGATCCCACCCCAACCCCAACTCCAAGTTCTGACCTTGATCTTCCTATTGCTTTGCGGAAAGGTAAACGCAGTTGCACTCTCCATCCCATTTCCATTTATGTTTTTGTATCTCACCTTTCGGCTTCCCATCAACAGTTTGTTTCTATGTTATCCTCTGCCTCTGTTCGCAATGATGTCCAGGAAGCCCTCAATTCTCCAGGGTGGCGCCAAGCAATGGAAGAAGAACTCTCAGCCCTGACTCATACTCATACGTGGGACCTCACTACTCTTCCTCCTGGTAAGCATGTGGTCGGTTGTAAGTGGGTGTACACGGTTAAATACTTACCTAATGGAAGTGTTGAACGGTTGAAAGCTCGGTTAGTTGCCAATCACAGCAGTATGGTATTGATTACACAGACACCTTCTCTCTGGTTGCCAAAATTGGGTCAGTTCGTGTTCTAATTTCTCTTGCTGCTATGTTTGATTGGCACTTGTTTCAGCTTGACATCAAGAATGCCTTTTTACATGGTGATCTTCTTGAGGAGGTGTACATGGAGCAACCACCAGGGTTTGTTGCTCAAGGGGAGGGTGAGAAGGTCTGTAGACTTAAGAAGGCTATTTATGGACTTAAACAATCTCCCCGTGCATGGTTTGGGAGATTTAGTGAAGTGGTGAAGAAGTTTGGAATGAAATAGTGTCAAGTTGACCATTCCGTATTCAGCTATGAATCAAATGCTGGGAAGATTCTCTTGATGGTATACGTAGATGACATTGTTATCACATGCAATGACAGACCAGGAATTGATAGGTTGAAGACTTACTTGCATGATCACTTCCAGACAAAGGATCTTGGCAAATTAAGATACTTCCTAGGGATAGAGGTTGCAAAGTCCAAGAATGGTATTAATCTGTGCCAGAGAAAATATGTTCTTGATTTGCTAGAGGAAACAAGGTTGTTGGGTGCCAGACCAGCTGAAACACCTATTGGAACTGAATGCTAGATTGGGTAGTGATACAGGTGAGGAGTTTGAGGATCCGGGAAGGTACAAAAAGCTAGTGGGTAAGCTTAATTACCTAACCATCACTCGACCTGATATCTCATTTGCAGTTAGTGTAGTGAGTCAATTTATGCAGAATCCGAGAATCCCACACTAGGAGGCAATCCTAAGGATTGTGAGGTATTTGAAGGGTGCTCCAGGTCGTGGTTTGTTGTACAAGAGTGGAGGAAGTCTTGAGATAGAGGGATACATGGATGCTGATTGGGCCGGGTCTATATCTGACAGAAGGTCCACTACAGGGTATTGCACTTTTCTTGATGGGAACTTAGTGACATGGAAGAGTAAGAATCAAACAATTGTAGCAAGAAGTAGTGCAAAGGCTGAATATAGGGCTATGGCTCACACATGCAAACTGGTGTGGTTGAAACATCTACTAGAGGAGATGAGATACTAGATTGACACTCCTATGAAGCTATACTGTGATAACCAAGCTGTAGTTCATATCTCCTCTAATCCAGTGTTTCACGAAAGGATGAAGCACATAGAAGTGGATTCCCACTTTGTACGTGAGAAGGTGCTTAGTGGAGTGATAAGTACAACATATGTGAACACAGGAAATCAATGGGCAGGTTTGTTTACCAAAGGGTTGAATCGGGGAAGAGTGGACTACATATGTAACAAGCTGGGACTATATGACATATACTCGCCAACTTGAGGGGGAGTGTTAGAGTCGGCTGTACAAGGGTAGTACAGTCCTTTTATGTTTAGTTATATATGTACTGCTCTGCTGATGTGGCTCTCACTTAAGTGAGGGCACAATGGTAATCCTTATATATCTTAGAAGAGTATAAATAAAAGAAGGGCCGACTAGAGGTTTTTGAGATTTTCTCTCTAGTTCGGTTGTGACTTTTCTCCTTTTTCTTCTCTTTCTCCTTCTCCTTCTCTCTCTCTTTTCCTTCTCTTTCTTCTGATCTGAACATATACGAACATCTAATCTAAGTTTTATCAGCATATGTCCGCAGATCAGCCAATTGGTCTCTAGTCTTCACAAATGGAGTATCTATGTCACCATTCTAAACCTGCTCTCTAACAAAATGACAATCCACCTCAATATGCTTTGTCCTCATAAAATACAGGGTCCAATGCAATATGGATTACTGCTAGATTATCATAAAGAGGAGTAAAAAGTGCTTCAAGACCTGAATAGCATGTTAATGATTTAAGAGGAGATGATTAGTAGTTTCTCGCGAAGGACACACACACGAGGAAAAGGCACCAGTTTTTCCATTTCCTTTGAAGCCTCCCAAATGTGTTGATGACTCGGTTGGCTACTTACCAATAGGAAACTTTGACCTTTGGAGGAGATGGAGCCAATATTCCAATAGGTGTTTGAAGTGTATAACTAGGGGCATGCCTCTAGGTGAGGCGCACTCAAAATGCCCTAAGGCATACATTGGAGGCAAGGATGCTTTTGAAGCATATGCCTCAAACGCCTTTTGCAAGAGACATATGCCTCTAGTACACCTCCTTGTGGCTTACTACTCGACAACAATTCTTCCTTTTGCATTCTAAACTATGCCTCATGCCTCAATGTTTTAAAATTTTTCTGGACCAAACCAAGTGGCCTTTAGCTAGAAAGGAGAAAAGCCATATTGATTTGGTAAAGAGTATTGAAAAAGGAAGCACAAGAGAAATTCCTGCTAGGATTTGTAGTCCACACCCCCTCATCTCTCCACTGGAAAAACAAAGACATCTCTAAGATTTTTTGTAATGAATTACTTTGTTATTTTTTGTAATGAATAAAGTGTAATACAAAGTATTATAGATCCTAGAACATAGGTTGGAAGGACTCTGCATATCCCTTTTTTGAAAAACTATTTTATTTAATCCCTATTTACCCCTAGGCCCTAGCTTAGACCATCAGCCATACTATCTTCCGACCTTTGAATCCACCAAATTGATACCTCCATTTCCCTCATCAACCACCTTATCTCCTTGATTGTTTGTTTATACTGCCAAATTGTCTGGCTATTTATATTGAGCCTATTAACTACAACCTTAGAATCCCCTTCTATCACTAATTTGCTAATATTCATTGACCATATCAACTTCAACCCTTGTAGAACATCCATTGATTCTGCACTTATTGAACCCCCAATTCCAATTGGTCATTGCTAGGATTTTGCCACTTCCAACTCTAAACACTCCACCAAGAATCTTTAAATCATTGATCAAAATGATGATTTCATGGGTTTCAATCTTTCAGAGTAGTTTAATGCCATTCTCAACCCCAGGTTCCAAGAAGTCCCTCTGTTATCCATTCTCAACCCCAGGTTCCAAGAAGTCCCTCTGTTATCCATAGATATGAAGTCGGCAGCTGGTTTGTGTTTTGAAGTGATTAGATTGTAGATCCTGGGGTAGGACTGGCATGAAGGAGAACCTTCCCACTAGAGATCCTCCCAAAATATCACTCTCAAGAGACAAAGTCATACATAATGTGCTGACATGGTCAGTAAGGTCCATTGAAATATTTGACATAGACATAAATATTTTTTTGGAAATTTTGATGCTTTATGTAATGGTTAAGATTAATTGAAATCTTGGTACACTACTTGGACAGCCAAGATTAATTCATTGATCTTAGGAGACCATTTTGATAGCCTAGACTTTTTTGTTGTTTTGGCACTTTTTTTGGATGGCCATATTAGTTGAATTTAGTACATCATTTCAAATGGTTGACAATTTGAGATTAATGCACTAATCTTGAGAGACCACTTAGATGACCCAAATGTTTAGGTTAATTTGGAACATCATTTACATGGCACGTACTTTGTATTTTATCTTTTTTTTTTTAATTTGGGTAATGTGATACATCATCTACTGTATGACTTCAATGGGGTAAATTGCTTGAAACCTTTGTACATCACTTGAATTTTCAAGTTTGGTCAACTGATACTGAGGTATGAGTTCAATGATCTAGATCTTTAGTCAGAAAATCAGGACTAGGAATATCTCTTTTAGCATATGAAATGGGTAAAGAAAAATTAATATTGTCTTCCAATGTAAGATAAGAGCATTTTGGGCTTTAAAAAATGTACTTATTTAACAGAATGGTGACAAATGGGGTTACTTGTCGTGATATTAAGTACAAGGAGCTAAGTGTCACAAAAAATAGTATGGGGGGATGAGTGGCACACTGCCAAAGTACAAGGGGTCCTTGCAATTTACCCTTTCTTGATTTTTTTGACAGGTAGGTTTTGATTGTCAGGTTTTAATGTGTTTTTACTTTTAGCATTGAAGTTAGTTTCTTATGGTGATGGGGTTCAAATGTTGTATTGATATTATATTTTTAGTACACTGCTCTTGTTTTTATTGATATATTTGTATACTACCATTTGGGTTTTGATTTTTTGCTAGAGCCACAAAGATCACTTCTGTGGTTCTATCTTATAATCCTATTCTTATTCTTTTTGAAACTATTTATTTTTACTATAAAAAAAGAACTCTATTATGCCTCAAATATATTTCATACTTAATAAGCACATAGTACATGTCAGATGGTTCATTTCAAGACTAAGCTTGTTTTTGTGACTTATTTAGGCTATGAACTTTTGTATCAGGACTACCAAAATACTCTATTCACATCTATTTTACCCATCACTTGAAAAGCTGAAGACATCAGCATTCACTGAGTTATTTGTGGTATCAAACAGCGACTATTTGTGTCTTATTGTTGAGGAATGTATTTCAGAACTGGAAGCTTTTCCTGACCTGTTGTTATCCTTGCCTGATAGTAGCTTCGAAACAGCAACTAAACATTAACTTGAAGATTTAAACTACAGGCTCAACCAATTTTGAACAGCAGGGTAAAAACACCATTCTTCAGAGCACTGTAACAAAGACAAGGCATAATCACATGAAACTAGTCCCCTTCACAAAAACAGTAAAATACATGACAATAATAAGTCAAATAGGGGAAAAAGAATGGATATGATGAATGTCCATACATCTTTTGTTCAGCAATTCCAAGTCAAAATTTATCTTTTGACATTCTACTTACTCACTGCCTACCATTAATACAAGCCTCTTTAGCTGCAATGGCGTCCTTGTAAACCTCCATTAAATCTGGGACTCTATCCAAATACATAGTCACATAGGTCTCCACAAAGTTCTTCTCAGTAAGCTTAAACGCCCAAATATGCTTCCTGTCTACTTCAAGCAGCTTCTTTGTCTCCAGAACCTTTAGTACCGAATATCTTGGCCAGATCCTTGTGCAAAATCCATATCCAAGAAGAATGGGATTTGTAATTATAGTTGATCGATCCAGCTTCATGGTGCTTGTATAGAAATCCATCAACCTCTTGATCTTCTCTTCTGAACAAGTTATAACAAAAGGTGCTCTCTTAAAAGCAGACATAACCTCTTCCTCAGACCACCCCAAGCTTTTAAAAACTTCCATTTTCCTTTCCCATGTAGGCTCTTTCATTGAAGACATTGCTCGAACAGCATGTACAAACAAAGAACTGCTGGGTTGGAACCCCAACTTTTTAACAGTCTGGACAATCTTAATCATCTTATCCACCTTCTGCAATACAGTCATTGGTTGGGAACTGATCAGCTTGGAGATGTGTGCAATGTGTACACCATGACTCGTTAAGATAGCAACATTAGGTTGCATATTTCGTTTGAGATCAAAACTTAGCAGCCACGGATAGCGTTTAACGGTCTTGATGACATCTTCTTTAGTCTTCAGAAATGTCAAGAGGACTTCAAAATTTGGTTTTAAAACATTATCCAAGCTTTTAAGACCATTTGGATTTGAGATGAGTAGATCTGCGAGAGTGGAGCTCGAAAATCCAAAACCAAGAAGGTATTCTATCTTGGGTTTGAACTTTCCCTCTAAATTACAGCGGAGAAGCGAAGGACGCTTAGTGATGAGTTTTGAGATGTGGGTATCAGAGAAGCCATGGGATTTTAGGAAGTTGATGACAGAATCGTGCTTCTGGGTGTTTCTTTCATCGAGTTGAATACTTTTGGATGCTGAGAGAGCACTTTCTATAGAAAGCAAACATGTATTCACGAGGTATTGAACTGTAAATGGCAACGATGGATCCAAGGAGATCGCTGGGGCTGCTATCTTTGTTGTCAAGGATTTGAGAAATGGGTTATGCAGGAAATGAAAATAAAATGTTCTTCTGTTTTGGGAAATGCGATACATTTTCAGCAAAGATATTGAGAAAGGGTAGATGTTCCAAGAAACTAACCAGAAAGCAGAAACCAATCTCCAAACGTTTGAGAAATTTGAAGGCACAGAATGAAACCATGAACAGCTTTCCTGAGGTGAGAAGAAGACCAGAAGAGTTGAGAGTCTCGCCTGAGAGTATAAGTGAAGGGCAATAGAAGGAAATGACGGAAGTCGGGAAACGTCTTCGCATGTCAACGAGTCGGGTTTGACACGGTTTTGGATCAACCCGGAATTGCCAATGCAACTCCCAACTCCCATCACGATCCGACTAATGGAATTATGGAACCCAACTCGGCCCATCTCACATTTGGTACACCCATAATCAAACCTATAACTGCGTTTGGTAAGAGTGTAGATGCAAATATTTTTTATTCACGAAAATACAATTCGGATGGTCAACAATGTTTGAATTGCCATTTGGTTTTCTTAAAGCTGTGTTTGGTTGGAGTATGAATGCAAATTTGTAGAGTGCAAAACAAAAATGTTTGGTTCATGTGAGTGCAAAGTGGTTCAAGATTTACACACCCACTTTGCACTCAGCTCATTTTGTTTTGAAAGACGCAAATAAGAATACAATTTTTGTGGATGTTTGGCATTTCCATCAATGCAAATACAACTGTTTCTTGCTACCATTCCAGCTACTCCCACCATTAAACAAATATAAAAAATAACAAGCTGCCAGGGCATCTTGGTAAAAAATAACAACATAAAAACAACCAGCTACTCCCACCATCAATGCAAATACAACGGTCTCTTCTGCCAAGTAAGCCAGTTTCTCTCTCCTCTTCACGCCAACGAAGACTATTCCTTTTGAATAGGAACTATGGAGCTTCCAAACGGCATAACATTAGCAGCCCGGGCATCCTGTCACAAATGTATCTGCTCTGATCTTTATCAAAATGCTGGAAGGCTTTATATAGATGTTCGTCTCTTTCTAGCTTGTTACTATGCATGGTTGCAGTAATAAATTCAATATAATCGATTGTTCCATTTCCATCCACATCAGCCTGAAAAAAGAAAGAAATGATCAACCCAAGAATTTTAGACATATAAAATAAAAGATCAAGAAATCTAGCTTATTTTTTTCAATGCACTTATATCTTACAGCTTCTTAGTTTGATGTAAGGTTCATTTTGTAAGATTGCAATTCTACTAATATTTGATTTTCACAACAAGAAAGGGGAATGGGGGAATAAATGGATGAAATGGGTCCACGGAAGCTGGAATCAGGCCACAAAGCCCACAGCTTCTTAGTTTAACACTTCTCCTAAATTTGACAAACAATAGGGGAGGACAGAATGCGGGAGAGTCAGCACCAAACCATAGATTTGTAGGAACATTTCAGCTTCATTCATTCATTAATTGTTCAAAAGAATGTTTAACATGGTTTTATATGGAAATTTGAGAATTCCTTTTTGAGATCTACAATATATTTATTTTCCTAAGCAATGAGACTAAAGAAATGCTTGCTAGAGAATGAATCTTCTAAATCCTTCAAATATTCAGAAAATCTTGAGGGTCCAGTCAAATCTTGAAAAGATTTGGCTATAAGAATCTTGATAGGATTTGGTTGAAAGTGAACCTTTTGAATATCACATGGGGTCTTGACAGCAATTAACTTCTTGGGCTTGTTGTAAAGGATTCAATGTTTTAGGCCTCTGGAGAAACTCACACATTTAGTGGGCTTTGGTTTTCTGAAAGAAACTCACACATTACCAACAACTGGTGTATGAATTATGAGGGCCTTGGACCCATGTACAGGTCCCCTGTCCTGAGATCCAAGATTCTCCCATGGTTGGAGTCCTTGGACGACAATATTGATAATACATGATTAAAGCAAATTTACTAGATTGTGGTAAACTTTTTTAGCATCTATTATGCATGAACTATATGGTGTTGGAGGGGTATGGGGTCTAGACTAGCTAATGGTGGGACAAATAACAGGGGTGATGTGTCTTTTTTTTTAAGAAAAGGTGGCTGCATAGCTCAAATAAAAGAAAGGGATAAGCCTGTTTGGTGAAAGGGATGATGATTGATCAGCCTAACTGCTAGTAAACTATGCTAAGCAGGGGGGATATCTTAGGGAATAAGTGGATTCTGTTTTGGATCTCAAAAACAAAACAGAATTACTCAAAACAGGAGAATAGAATGTACCAACATGGTAACCAGAAATTCCAAACCTTAAAACATAAATTTGAAAAAGGCAAAGTTACTGCTAAAACAGAATTAATCAAGATAACAAAAATGCCTCCTATCTAGAAGATCCAAAGAAACTCTGAGATAATTGGATTCTTCAAATCCAAATAATTATCAGGTGGCCTTTGGCAAGACAAGGATTAAAGAGGAACCAACTATTTAGAGGGGTGGCTTCCCAAGGTGGAAATCTGTAATGTGAATTCGAAACTTTGAACAGTTTTAAACAAGGGTGGGTGGTAAGACTAGCCAAATTGTATTGACATTTTCAAGCTGTACATCATTTTTTATCCAGATCTCCATAACTTTGTATAGGGCAAACAGCTCCAAGGCTGACTTACAACTTGGGTCCTCCTCTCATATGGAATCCTTTAGATGTGCTGATCCATCTAATCATTGACATCTCCCAACACCTCATTTAGCCAAACCATCAGAATTACCTCCATATCCACTTGAGAGAGATATTCAGTCTGGCCTCTCTAATGTCATACTGCATTATCTAAGGCCCCTTCAAACCAACTAATGGCCACCTTTGAATTATCATCCACCTTAACTTGCAACCATACAGCACAATGCCTTCTTCGTATCATGAGAGGTTTACAATTAATTGTTGCTCTAATCTAGGCTTTTTTCCATTCTATTGTTCTCTTGTACTGTTTTTTGCCTGTTTTACTTATTGGCGAACCTTCAATACCTTTTATGCTTTCCCAATAACCTCTTTGTAGTACACTAGGTATGCATAAGTATGTAATGCAATGGAATGGGCAGGCAAAAGGCCTTTTTTTTTCATTATAAGGACAAAATGGTTTATGATTTAGCAGATCGCTAATTCTTTCTCTGACTCTAAACATTTCCTTGTTGTTTTATCCCTATTCTCTTGATTCATATCATTTTGCTGTTGTAAATTAATGCTTGTTGTAGAAGTGGTTTTGATTCATATCATTTGTACAACTGATGGACTCTCAATAGAACATCGTTCCATCCATTTTAATGTGATCTTTCTTTGAATGGATTTCCAAAGTGGTTGATCTGTGATTTTTGCAGAAAGCCTTCCCCACATAAGCCAAATGATTTTTGTCTATCAGGTTGAAAAATATAATCCTTTCTGATTTGACTCCATGCAGTTTGTTTATCAGTATTGGTAAGATATTTTCCCCATAGGCAATATAGATGCTTTTAAACATTCTAAAGATCCTCTAACAAAATCTATGCAGATCTAATAAGTTTATACAATTACATTCCAAGGACCTTCAGGCAGCCCATGGCCACTTTGAGCCTAGATTGATGTGGTTTATATTTCTCATCTTCCCAAATAAAAAACAAATCTCTACCCAGTGCACTAATAAATGATTTGGTATTTAAATAAAAGATTTCCCATATATGCACCATCTTTTCTAATTCAATGGGTTATTTATTGGCATACTCTTTTAAACAATTACTTGGTCTAATCCTCTTAATTTTCTAATTTCTACCTTGGAGGAAGATTCTTTATACTCAATTTGGTGAATTTGATTAATAACTTTAAAAAAATGAAATTTATTTATGTTAATGAGTAACTTAATATGATGAATTACTTCTCATAAGTCAAGAGCACGTCCCTTTCTTAAGCTTAAAAATGTGAAAACCTTTCATTAACACAGCATTCAATTCAAGAAGCAGCAGTTGACAAGATAAAGCAAAACAGCAAGAAGGTAACCGAGGACTAGGAGTCTGAAAGGCCAAAAATAAAGGGAAAAAATCCTCCATTAGAGATGGAATTCAATCAGCCAAACTCGCAGAAGAAAGAGAGATATTTCCAAACTCCATAACTAAATAGAAAGGGGTTTTTTGAGCCTTAAGCTCTGCAACCTCCCTTGTGATGATTCCCCCAATAAAATACAGATAAGTCAGTAATGGAAATAAATTCAAAGGATCACGTGAAGTTCCTTTTAATTTCCATTGCTGGCATGCCTGTGTTAAATTGGGGGTTGAAGTGCTGTGACAACAGTAACAGTTGAAGGTTAGGATGAGAGAAGTAAAGAAAAATGAAGCAATAACTCTAGCATGCGGTGAAATCAAAAAGTTCCAAGTCACTTAATCAATCAAAAATAAATCAATAGACAAGCAATAACTCTAACATCCAAAAAATGGAAGTAGATAGCAAGATAGATGGAACATTACCTAGAAACGAAGAGGAAAAAAAAAACACAAAACCGAAAAGGTTTTTTTTCTGGTTCTTTGAGTTTTGTGAAGAAGAAGAAAAAGCTGGCTCTTATTCCATTCAAAATCAAGTTCGGAGGTGCCTTTCAAGCCCGTTCTTGATGATATTAAGTGCTGGAGTCAAAAATCCCACTCCAGTTCAGATTTGGTGATTCTTCTTCCTTTCTCTACTTCTCAGTTCAGATTTATAGCAACTTGGTGAGATCTAAACCTCTGTTTGTGTTGTATCCACCTTGCATTTGGTGATGTTAATGCTGTTCTTGTGAGCCAAGGATTATTTCCTTGATGTTTGTAAGCCTCTAGTTGCAACTWGAGAAGACTTTTGTACCCATTAATTTATGAATTAGTGGAAGACTTTTACGGACCATAGGTCCCATGGTTTTTCCCCGATTTTGGGGTTTTCCATGTAAAAATTCTGGTGTTCTATTGTGTGGTGATTGTTATCTGTTTTTCTGTTACTTGGTTGAATTGTTTACTTATTATTATTGTTGTTGGCAAACCCATTTTGATACACAAATTTGGGGGAAAGGTTCTTACTGTCCTGGGATTGGTTTTACATTCATTTCTGCTACTATAGTGTAACTTGCCCAACAAAAATGAAGAGGTTAGGATTCTCTCAAAGGAAAACCAAACAAACAACAAAGTAGATTGAAGGTAATCGGAAAATGAAGGTAGATCGGATTACCTCTGTGAAAATGAAGGCAGTTTAGAATCGCTCGCAGTTTCTCCTCTATCTACTCAGTTTCAGCCCGCAGTTGAGAGTGCTCGCCATTCCCCTCTATCTCTCTTTTTTCGAGGATTTTGGAAAAACTCAAAACCTATTTACTTCGACCGATCATAAGAGCAAATTTTTCTTTCCTTTTTAGAAAGCAATATTTTCTCCTATTTTCGATACAAACCTAAGAAAGTATACAAATTTGCATCGAAAATCGATGCATTTTTGAAATCTAACCAAATGAATGCAAATCTGAACCGGAGTACAAATTTGCAACGTTTTAGATTTGCACTCCAACCAAACGCAGCCTAAATTTTAAAATTTTGTCAAAAACTGTTAACTTGGTCAGGTATTCATCGATTTGGGAGGATAAACCAATGACCCGTACTAGATCAAGGGTTTCAAATAAATTTGTGTTCGGTTGTCTAATTACTGTCATCCTTTTACATATAGCCATATAGGAATCTCAAAAGGGCATTTCAGTAAATTAACTTTTCCTCCTATTCTAATTAATTTTAATGGAGAAGAGGCAAAGTGTTGGAATTTGAAGGGAGGGTGTCGCAAACAAAATCCGAGGTGTTATGCGTTACTACCCTGAAAGTACAAGGTGATAATATGTAATTTACCCTCTTTTGATTTTGGGAAATTTTTCGCAGTCTGCATCCCAACTTTCAAGGGGCCATCGGCCTTGTCCTTTTTTTATTTATAAAAAGTTAAAAACTAAATTATTTATATATATTGGACCTAAAATAATGTGTATATATATATATATGCATACATGTATGAGATTCTGATATAACTACCAACCCAATTACATCCCTAAGTTTGACTATTCTTAAAATTAAAAGGTCATTTATTAAAACAATTAAAAATGCAAAAAATCAAAAAGTAATTTTCCTAAAGCAAAAAAAGTTAGGAAAATATAAAATGGTTGCAGATTATCTTTTAAAAGCTACTTTTTCAAAGCAAGAATAAAACAATAAATATTAGATGTTAGAACACAAATTAATACATGCATTTGGATATATTTGACTAAGCCCACATTTTTAAGAATTGAGGGATTTCTATTGTATATGTGTAGAACAAGGTCCAAAATATGGCAATGTATTAGTGGTATAATATATGGGGCTGTTTATCTTTAAACACTAGAATCCCCCCTAACATGTCCATTGTGAAAAATGGAACGGAAAAACCCATTTAAAGCGCACAATATACAATTTTGATTACATGAAAGCAGATAGAGCCAAAGATGTTCTTCCTTCTTTCTAGTAAAAGTCTCCAATGCTTTGTGTTCTATTTATTTCGTAAACCATCCATATAGAGGCAACAAAGAAAATGAGGAATTGTGATTTGTGGACCAAAGTAAAACAGGTTAATTGGTGATGGGATAATGAGGCCAAAGAATGGAAGTGTCTTTCATTATCCAAAAGGACTGAACACTATCACAGGGTCCGTTTGGTTCACAGGCAGAACCGCAGAACCGGAATTGAAATCTATTGGAATGGTCTATTCCTACCATCTATTTGGTTTAGACAGGAATCCAAATCGGAATCGGAATCAATTGGAATGGATTTTCATTCTCAATGGAGGGGGAGGGAATGGCCATTCCCTAAAATGGGGGAATGCCATTCCACCAGGAATGGAAATGAGATTCCGATTCCACCCCAACAAACAGTTGGAATCAGAATGGACCAATTCCAGACCCCCACTCCCGTGAACCAAACAGACCATCAGTATTTGTTTGTCTACATGATCAGTATTGGTGCATTTAAGTTGAAAATTTTCATTTGTTTTTAGAGATGAAATTGTGGTCTGAAAAGTCCAATCGTCTAGTCCAGTATCCAAGTCTGACATTCTTCTACAAACAATTCAACCCAACCTTAATCCCGATTACATAGTTGGGAATGTCACGATTCTTGTGTCAGAAGATAACTTTCAAATGCTGTTTTATCTTCATTTCAATAGCAGTATTTTGTTCTTGGGAAAAAGAAGGTAATTTGTAGGGGAGAGCAGAGCCCAAATTCAGATGGAAAACTATACCTATCCAAAACTTCACAGTCAATGAACCGTACCGTGAGACAGCCCATTAAGACCAGATAAAGACTGAATACGGCCACCAAGTAATATACACGATCTAAACTGCTTTTAACCTGACTAAAGAAGAAAGTCTTGAGAGCAACTACATGAAAGATGTCTCCCATGAAACCCAGTAATTCAGAAGTCAGGATGCTGAATAACTTCAGTATCATATATTCATATCCAAACCCGACATTCTTCCTCCAATCTCCAGGCTTAAGGTCTTTTGACCAACTGGATACCTGATAAAGACATGGGAGCTTCAGCAAAATGTGGACTCTGGATTTCTTAATTTGGAATGCATTTGGTTGGGATCATGGTTTGAAAACCAGACTGGACCAGATGGTCAGACCAGTTGACCCAGGAACGGTCATGACTCCAGGTCTGGTTTTGGACCCCAAAACCGTCTGACCAGGGTTTGGACCAGATGGCAGACCATTTGACCCGGGAACCAGTGGTCGGTGTGGTTCCATTTCCGGGTCAGTTTTTAAAACCATGGTTGGTATAGCATATTGGTTGAGGATAGCATGTGGTGAAAATAGTTACTTTGTGAATATACTATTTTGCTGGTATTTGGTTGCCAGAAGAAAAGAAGGATACACAATGATTCACTAGGTTTTATAAGGCTACTGCAAAGTAGTGCAACGATACATAGCCTTGACTGTTGGAGGAATGCCGAGGCCCCAAACTAATTCCTAATACTTAACAATCAGATGGTTTAGGCCAAGTTGTCTACCCACGATGAGGGAAAGGGAATTTCATTTTCAGTTTTGGTAAGTAGAAGCTGATATGGATGCAATGGGCCTATGTAAAACAGCACCAATCTTGACGATCCAAATTAAGAAGTCTTATTATGGAGATTTGGGTCGCAATACTTCGAGGGAAAACTGTGGAAAACTGTATCTGACATCATGATCACCCTCGTCAATGAAATCTAATCAATCATATACAACTAAAATAGAACTAACCAGTAACCACAAATTGTGAAACAATAAGTACCAATATAGAATAATAACATAAAAAATTGTCAGTATAATAAACTAAACTCACATGTGCATGCCAAAATTGTCCAAGTGCAAATGGATTCCATAATTCACTTGTTTCTTCTCCTTTGGTGTCAGGTGTTTTTGAATCCACAGTTGCATTTGTTATTTCTCCTTTCCATGTTCTCATTGAAATATTGCAAGTCTTAACTTCAACCCTTGATTAACAGCATTTTGAGTCTTGACTAATTCAGGGTTGCACGTCTAAGACACAAACTTGTGGAATTTCTCAGATTTCTTTTCTAGGAAACAAAGTGCCCTCTATCCACAAACCAACCTCTCTCCCTATGTCAAGGAAAGACAAGTTGTAGTTGAAAAGTGTCTCCAATGGAGTGTAATCTTTTCTGTGTTCCCCTCCTTGTCCCTCTTCCAAATATTTGGTCCACCTTTAAACAACTTAACTTATTTGGGGTGTTAGAAGAAGAAAATTGCTCAAATTGGTCTAATATATGTGACAACTGACCAAATAGCACAAGTCCTCAAATATGAACAAACAATGGAGGTTAAGAGGAGGTTCTGATTTTGGTGCCCCTATATTTCAATGTACATCAGCCTGGTACCCTGTAACTTACCACATATTACATATATACAGATTACCAGGATCCACCATTAGATGAGTAGACCATAAGACAGTGCATAAATTAAAAACATGATTATAGTATCACATTCTTATCTCTTAAATTTGGAAAAGAAAATTACTATGCAACTTCAATAACAAAAATAAATGCCAAATGAGCAAATAACATTATTAAAATAATAAACATAATCTTCCAACTTTAGGGTTAAAATAGATGCTGCTGTCTTAGGGTTGAAGTTGTAGTTTCATTCTTATTAAACTCTTGAATCTTCATTATCAGCCATGCCTCATCCCAACTATATGGAGTTGGCTACATCAATCCTGTTTGGACAATTATTTAAAACCATATCCACTGTTAAATTATTGGTGCTTAAATAATTTCTTACTACTTCTACCCATGTCCTTTTTGGTCTACCCCAAGCTCTTCTAGCCCATTCAATGTGTAACAAATCACTTCTTCTAACTGGCGCAGTTGGTGATCTTCTATGCACGTGCCCAAACCATCTTAGGCTGAATTTAGCATTCCTTATTTTAAGGACTGGTCTCTTTTTTCCTGTTAAAATGTCCCCTATAAACATTGAATTTTTAACTGCAAAAAGAAGTTAAGCCCTTAAAATAAGGAATGCCAAATGCAGCCTTGGTCTACTCTCTCTCTCTCTCTCTCTCTCACACACACACACACACACACATTTTATCACCTATTGGAGCTACTCCTAGGTTCCTACAAATAACTTCATTCCTATTCCTATCGTTTCTAGTTTTTCCACTCTTCCATCTTAGCATTTGCGTTTCTGCCACATTTATTTTCTGGATCATTATACTCTTGAAGACAAATACAATTGGGTGGGCTGACCTCTAGGGCAGTTACACCCTATTCACTCATTTGTATCTCCTGATAACAGCTCCTTGGAATATTATTTCAATCTATTTTTATTTGTATACAAAATTTTAATGTCTCTACCCTAAAAATCCTTGATATGGCTTCCATGCATCTCTAGTACTAGTTAGACCTATTGAGTCCCATTTTACGGAGGAAAACAGTTATAACTTTGCATTTGGTTTTAATCTTCATCAAGAGTCAGACTTATTCTTTAACTTGGTTTTGGAATTTAGTTATTTGAAAATTTGAATTTCCTATTAAAAACTTGATCGCCATCATGTTTTGTTGAATTTTAGCCGCATCCATCCTTGCACATGGAACCTAATAGATACCCTTGCTTTTTCATCCAAGTATTCCTCCTTATAAAAACATTGTCCCTATATTTTCTTATTTACAAACCATAGCTTTTAGACCTCCACAAGCAGCAGGCTCCCAAACATTTATTTGCATCTTCTCTCTCTATTTTAACCCCAAATCCACTCATATGCCTTCCCTATTCTAATTAATTCAGTCAATGCCCTATTCTATGTACTCTATCCCATCTTATATCATTTTTCCTTTAAGAGAATATGAACAACTTATATTTTATTGTTCTCTTCAACATTTCAGATCTATGGCCAAGACATCAAATCAGAGAAGCTAAACAATTAATGGCCAACATGAACTGCTCAATAAAGTTTCCCTAAGGCTGTTAATATTCTGGCAGATGCCTTGGCTTGAACTGGGGTAGCAATAGATGTTTTCGCATGGGGCTTCCCAGGCCCAGGGTCAAGGATTGAAATGTAACTTTGCCTTTTGGATTTCTATCTTAGAAGTGAAGACAGCTTTTGGCTTTTAACTAATATTCCAGTACAAATCTCCATGCTTGGGAAACAAGTTTTTCATTTAATCCATTAATGAAATTATAGTTTTTTTATAAGTAATTTATGAAATTAATTGTTGATATAAAAGGATGATAAAGAAAAGATAATTGCATTAAACAGAATGGAATGGAGAAACAGGATTCATGCAGTCAACCCCACATAGTTGGGATAAGACTAGGATGATGATGATGGTAAAAAAAAAATTTGTTTATATTCATGTGCCTCAATCACCAATAGTTTAGCTTGTCAAATCATTAGGAATTGTAGAAATATTGGGCCTCATGGGCCTTAGTTTGTTTCCTTGTTATAGTTATTATCTTTTGTGTTAATGGGCCAAATAGCCTTTTCTTTTAAGTTTTCACTCCTCTCCTTCCCCCTTTCTTCCTATTCTTCTCTTCTTCCTCTCTCTATCTCTTCTATTCTGATTTTTCACTCTATCTTTCATACTTCCTTTGATTATTTCAGTTTAATCTATTGTCGTTTTCTTCTTGATATCAGAGCACTACAACTTTTTTCTCCTTTTCTTTTAATCCCATACACAGTATGTTTGGAGAATTGAGTTAGTGATTGATTGAAGATTCATTCAGCCTAGTTGGTAGAAGATATGTAGGCAATTGGATTGGTGCCCAAGACGACTCTTGGAGTTTTAACCCAAAACCCTAGCCAACTGGAGTAAACAAGGGTCCCACCTGGCACTCAAGGCTTGAAGAAAAGTTTTTTGATAATCTTGGAGATCGATCCAAGCTGGACTGATTTCTGCAGGTCCCACAAGGAGCAACCACATTTTTAAGCTTTCTCCCAGGTTTCCAGGTTCTGCACAACCCTAGTTTTGGAATCCTGTTAAGGCTAGTTTTGGTTGTTCTCTCTTTCAATCATTCCTGTTTGCTATCTGAATTTCTTTAAGTTTTTGAATATGAAGGACTCTGAAATAGAGACTAAGCAAGTCTCAGAGTCCGGGATGGTTCCAGAAGCATATGTAGATTCTCTATTGGCTGTGACCACAATGAAACTTGATGGAACCAACTATTTAGCCTGGTAGTAGTCAGTAGAATACATGTTTGTAGTAGAGGAAGGTAGGGGTGAGCAAACGGTTTGTTCGGTTTAAAACCGAGCCGAACAAACCGAATTTTTAGAAACCAAATTATGAAATGTGGCAACCAAACCAAAACCAAATTTAGGTTAAACCGAACAAACCGAACCAAAATTTTTTTCAGTTAATTCGGTTTTTTCGTTTAAAATCGAAAATTGCAAAAACTGACAGAAAATTGCAAAAAACTGACAGAAAATTGCAAAATGAGAGAAGCAGAAAAAGGAAAAAAAATAAACAATAATAAATATTACATACCTGAGAGTAAGAGACTTCGACAACCGACTTACTGCTCACTGTCGTCGTCGCCGGAGTATGAGACTATGAGGTTGTTGCTTCGGAGTTCAGAAAGAGAGAACTGGGAAAGTGGGAAGACAGTCAGACGCCAGACCAAACGCAGACAGAGCATAACACATACTTGGAGAGGAAGACTCTTAGCACAACACGAACTGGGAAAGTGGGAAGACAGTCAGCTCGCTGCTCGCCGTCACCGGTGTATGAGGTTGTTGCTTCAGAAAGAGGAAACTAAGAAAGTGAGAAGTGGGAAGACAGTCAGACACCAGTCACCGAACACAAAGACTTGGAGAGGAAGACTTACGCAGTTATGCTCGTCATCGTCGAGAAACGTTTGCTCACCCCTACGGACATCCTGCCCAGTTAGTCAGATGCCAGTCTGGCGTCAAACGCCAGTCTAGCGTCTGACTAACTGTTTAATGCCTCTCAAGTCTCAATGGTTTTGGGTTTGGCGAGCCTAAACAAAAAGGATGGTTTTGGCGGGCCTAAACAAAAAGGGTGTACGAGTATATTTTTTTTTTATCAGTGGGGGTACGAGTATAATTACTAATATACCCTAATAATATCGGTTATTTTGGTTAACCGAAATGCAAAATACTCCAACCAAAACCGAAAACTGAATATTAAAGAACCGAAATTAAAAATCAAAACTGAACCGAATATCCGAACAAACCAAACTGAATGCACCAAAACCGAAATTCCAGTTTGGTTTTTCGGTTTAAACCGAACTATGCTCATCCCCAGAGGAAGGTGAGGTTATATCTCTGGTAGTAAGAAGCAGCCTGAGGAAGATGATCCTTCCTACAAGAAGTGGATACAAGATAGTGGTGAGATCAGAATTCTTGGCAGCAGTTTACGGGATGGAGAAGGCTAAAGAAATGGGGATTGAGAGACTAATCATTGAAGGGGATTCAAAAATAGTAGTGGGTTGGATGAAAGGGGGGAAGGGGTAATTTGGCAGCTAAGGAATGAATTCAGGTGCTTCAAACAGTTTTCCAGAGATATGCTTATCCAAATAAGATGGATTGGAAGATCTGCAAATAGCATGGAAGGTGGCCTAGCTAAACAAGGAATTCAGAAACAATCCATGTTTTGGGCTCATTTGTAAATTCAGATGGCTCATGGCTATTTGGGTTTGAATTTTTTTCACAACCTCTTGTTGTATATTTCTTCTCTAATTTAATGAATTAATTTTTCTGTTGCTGATCAAAAAAAAAAGTGGATGCAAGATAACTATACTGCCATTAACCGGCTGGTGAACTCCATGCAACCCCACATTAATCAAAATTACTTGTGAGTGAACTCTGCAAAGAACATTTGGGATAGTGTTGTTGAGACATACTCCCATAAACTTAATGTGAATAATGTACAGAAAGGAGAGAGAACTTTAGCAGTTTACTACTCTATGCTGAAATCTCTTTTACAAGAGATTGACTTGATGGAGAAAGTAATTTGGGAGAGTACAAAAGATGCTAAAACATATAGGAAGTTTGTGGAGAGAAACAAGGTGTTTGAGTTCTTGACAGGACTGAATCCAGAGTATGATATTACTAGACAAAATATCTTGGCAAAAGGATGATGTAACTCTGTCACAAGCATATGCCATGGTTAGTAGTAAGGAAAACAAAAGGCAGGTACAAGTTCAGGGGACAGTTCCAATTGACCACTTTGCTAATGTTGAGGTAAAACCTAAGGTAGTTGAGGAAAAGAAAGATGTTATATGTGAGTAATTGAGTATTGCAAGGAGCCGAAGCATACAAAGGACACTTGCTGAAAGTTACACCAACTCCTGCTAATCCATTTCAAAAATTCTAAGTTACACCATTTCAAAAATCTGTGAATAGGAAGAGTGTGAATGCTAATGCATCCATGGCTCTAGATAGTGACAAGGGTTCTAGTGATGAGAAGACCGCCATTGAACAACTAGGCTAAATTTGAGAAGTATGGGAGGTTGATCAATCATCTTGAGAGCACAGCTGTAGAAGCTTCTAGCTCTTCAAGCAATTCGACTTCCTCTGCTTTTGAATATTTAGGTATTCGTGCTACTGCCAACCATGCAACCATCTCAGGTAATTGCAAGAACCCTTCGATTATTGATTATGGAGCTTCTAATCATATGACTAGCGTATCTACCCTATTTAGTACTTATAGTTTGCTTTCTAGCCATGATTAAACAAACCTAGCTGATGGCTCTCTTGCCCCTATCTTTGGCAAGGGAGACATCAAGACCTCGAATTGCCATACCCTCACTTCTGTCCTTCATGCCCCTTAACTCCACACTAACCATTTGTCTATTAGTAGTCTGATTAAATCCTTAAATTGCTGTGTAGCTTTTTCCCCTTATTATTGTATTTTTTTAGGGCCAACTCTTGAAAGGTGATTGGGAGTGGCCATAGAGCAAATGGTTATACTTGCTAGATGTTCTTGAGAGAAGCCAAGGACTGCCCCTGAAAGTTACTTTTAGTCTATGACCAATTTTTTTGTCTTCCTCTTTTTTGATAATTGAAAATTTTTGCCTTCTTTGAAGCCTTTCAAATGTGTTGATGACTTGGATGGCCCAACAAGAGACTTTGACCTTTGGAGGAGATCATAGACCCAATGTTCTAAAAAGTGTTGAGGCATATGCCTAGGGTTGCACCTCTAGGTGAGGAACATTCAAAACACCCTAACACATATTGGAGGCATGGATGCCTTTAAGGTGTATGCCTCAAACGACTTTTGCATGAGGTATACACCTCTAGTACACCTCATATGCCTTTTAACCTCCTTGAATCTTACTACTCTTTACAAGGCTTACACCTCCTTGTGCTTAGGAGGCTTATGTCTTTTGCATTCTCAACCATGCATCACACCTACATGTCTTAACACCTTGGCCAAATGGCCTTTGCTAGAAAGGAGTGGGTCATATTGGTTTAGAAAAAGAGTTTTGAAAATGGAATCACAATAGAAATTTCTGCTAGGTTTAGAGTCCACACCCTCTCATCTCTCCCTTGGAAAAGTAAACATTTTTTTATCAAGAATAGACCTTGGAAAAACAAACATACCTATAAGAATTTTTTTTTATGGATAACTGAATTGCTTTATTATTTTTTGTAATCAAGAGTATACAAAGTATTATGCATACTAAAATATAAGCTGGAAGGATTCTGCCCATCCCCTTTTTGAAAAACCAATTTATTTTATCCCTATTTACCCCTAGCTTAGCCAATGAATTAGCCATACTATTTTCCAATCCTTGAATCCACTTGATACTTCCATTTCCCTCATCAACCACCTAATCTCCTTGATTGTTTGTCTATACTGCCAATCGTGTGGCTAATTGTATTGAGCTGACTGACTACCACCTTAGAAAGTTGGAATCCCCTTCTATCACTAATTTGTTAATATTCACTGACCATATCAGCTTCAAACCTTGTAGAACAGCCATTAATTCTGCTCTTATTGAAACCCCAACTCAAATTGGTCATTGCTAGGATTTTGCCACTTCCAACTCTAAACACCCTACCTACAATCTTTAAGATCATTGATCAAAGAGATGATGTCATGGGTTTCAATCTTCCAGAGTCCCTTACTGCCCTTCTTGACCCCAGGTTCCAAGAAATCCCATTGTTATCCAATAAGTCAGCAACTGGTTTATGTTTCAAAGTGGTTAAATTATAGATCCTGAAGTAGGACTGGCATGAAGGATCTCCCAACAAAACATCCTCCCAAAATCTAACCATCTTTCTAGAGACAAAGTCATACCTAATTTACTGAAGAACATGGGGAAAAGGTCCTATTACGTATTTGACATAGATTTTTTAGATATTTTGATGCTTCACATGAATGGTTGTGAGATTAGTTGAAATCTTGGTATGTTGCATGGATGGCCAAGATTGATTCTTTGCTCTCAAGAGACCATTTTGATAGCCTAGACTTTTTTGTTGTTTTGGTAAATTTTTTGGATGCCCTATATTAGTTGAATTTAGAATCATTTGGATGGTTAGATTAATGCACAAATCTTAAGATACCACTTTGATGACCCAGATCTTTGGGTTAACTTGGCACACCATTTACATGGCATTTTTTCCCTTTTTTTTTTGAAATCTGGGTAAATCTGATATACTATTTACTACTTCACTTCAATGGCCGAAATTGCTTGAAGCAATTGTAAATCACTTGGGTTTTCAAGATTGGTTGTCCGATCATGAGGTGTGAGTTCAATGATCCAGTTCCTTAGTCAGAAAATCAGGACTGGAAATATCTCTTTTAATATATTAAATGGGTAATAAGCAAAATTTTCTTCTAAATGTAAGATAAGAGCATTTCAGGATTTTAAAAATATTTAATGATTCACATGATGTACACGCGGTTATATGCCATTAACTAGTACGGGGGGCTGAGTGCCACACCCACAAAGTATGAGGGGTCCTTCTAATTTACCCTTTTTAATGTGCTTTTGTTTTTGGCCTTGAAGCTGGTTTCTTATGGTGAGGTTTAAGGCTTCAAATTTCGTATGGATGATTTTATATTTGTACAGTAATCTTTGGGTTTTGATTTTTTGGTCAAGCCACAAAGCTCACTTCGTTCTTATACTCCTATTCTTTTTTCTTTTTCAAAATATTTATTTTAGTATAAAAAAGAACTCTGTAATACATTTCATACTTGATGAGCACGTGATAGTACATCTCAGATGGTTCATTTCAAGGCTAAGCTTCTTTTTTTTTACTTACTTTAGGCTATGCACTTTTGTTTCAGGACTCCTCCAAAATACTCTATTGACTACCATTTTAGACAACACTAGAAAAAATGGAGACATCAGCATCCACCGAATTATTCATGGAATCAAACAATGACTCTGTGTCTCAGAAATGGAAAAATTTCCCTCACCTGCTGTTATCCTTGCCTGGTGGCTTCAAAACAGCAACTAAACATTAACTTGAAGATTTGAAAAATACAGGCGCAGCCGAATTTTGACAGCAGAGAAAAAACAGCATTCTTCAGAGCACTGTAACAATAACAAGGCATAATCAAATGAAACTAGTCCCCTTAATGAAAACAGTAAAATGCATGACAACAATACGCCAAATAGGGGTAAAAAGAACGGATATGATGAACATCCATACATCGTTTATTCAGCATTCCGAGTCAAAATTTTATCTCCTGATATTCTACTTACTCCCCTATCATCACCATCAATACAAGTCTCTTTAGCTGCAATGGCGTCCTTGTAAACCTCCATTAAATCTGGCACTCTAACCAAATGCATAGTCACATAGGTCTCCACAAATTTTTTCTCATTAAGCCTAAATGCCCAAATAAGTTTCCTGCCTACTTTAAGCAGCTGCTTTGTCTCCAAAACCTTTATAACCAAATATCTTGGCCAGATCCTTGTGCTAAATCCATACCCTAGAAGAGTGGGATTTGCAATTATTGTTGATCTCTCCAGCTTCATAGTGCTCGTATAGAAATCCATCAACCTCTTGATCTTCTCCTCTGAACAAGTTATAACATTAGGGCTTCTCTTAAAAGCAGACATAACCTCTTCCTCAGACCACCCGAAGCTCTTAAAAACCTCCATTTTTCTTTTCCATGTGGGTTCAGTCGTTGAAGACATTGCTCGAACAGCATGTACAAACAAGGAACTGCTGGGTTGGAATCCCAACTTTTTGACAGTCTCGACAATCTTGATCATTTTATCCACCTTCTGCACTACAGTCCTCGGATGGGAGATGATAAGCTTGGAGATATGTGCAACGTGTACACCCTGACTCATTAAGATAGACACATTAGGTTGCATATTTCGTCTGAGATCAAAATTTAGGAGCCATGGATAGCGCTTAACGGCATTGATGACATCTTCACTTGTCTTCAGCAATGTCAAGAGGACTTCAAAATTTGGTTTCAGAACATTATCCAAGCTTCTAAGAATATTTGGGCATGAGAGGAGTAGCTCTGCGAGAGTGGAGCCCGAAAATCCAAAACCAAGAAGATATTCTATCTTGGGTTTGAGTTTTCCCTCTAAATTACAGCGGAGAAGCGAAGGGCGCTTAGTGATGAGTTTTGAAATGTGGGTATCGGAGAAACCACGGGATTTTAGGAAGTTCAGGACAGAGTCATGCTTCTGGGGATTTCTTTCATCGAGTTGCAGCGTTTTGGATGCTGAAAGAGCACTTTCTACGGGAAGCGCACATGTATTGACGAGGTATTGAACTGTAAATGGCAAGGATGGATCGGAGGAGACCGCTGGAGCTGTTTTCTTTGCTGTTGTGAAGGAGTTGAGAAATGGGCATTGCAGAAAATGAAAATAAAATGTTCTTCTGTTTTGGGAAATGCGATACATTTCATCAAAACAATTGAGAATTAGAGAGAGAGAGAGAGAGAGAGAGAGAGGGAGAGCAAAATAAATTTGAAGGCACGGAATGAACAGCCTTCCTGAGGTGAGAAGAAGACGAGAAGAGTGAAGTCTCGCTCTCGCCTGAAGAAATAGTGAATAAAGAAGCCGCAAAGGGCAAAAGAAGGAAACGACTCCGCATGTCAACGGGTCGGGTTCGACACGGTTTTGGCCTTAACGACCCCGACCCGAATCATCTCCCGACACCCACAGAAGGTCCAGAACCACAATCCGACTAATTGAAGAGGGGTATGGAACCCAACTCGGCTCATCTTACACTTGGTGCATCCTTACTTTTGTTTTCTTTGATAGAGTGCTTGATTGTAGGGCTCTCAACAATGTTTTCAATCCATTGTTGAACCGAATGGTCCAATGGTTCAAACATCACCCCCGCCCAATTTCTGGTTTTGATTTTATTAAAACTTGGAACTTTGTCAAAAACCGTTGAGTTAAAAATTTGTCGATCCGGGTTGAACCATTGATTGATTTGCTTGATCAGGTCATCGGGTCATGGGTTACAAATTATAATCTATTGACAACTTTACAGTTGTTGGATTGGGGTGGTCTTATTTTAATTTTTGATAACTTCTTTTATGAACCATGCATCCCATTGGGCCATTGGCGCTAGGGGTGTTCATTGTTTGGTTCCAGCCATAAAATTGAATCGAATCAAATCAAATTTGTGGTTTGGTTTGGTTTGTTTGCTAAATTACGGTTTGCAGTTTCAGTTTGGTTTCTTGGATTTTTTATAAACCAAGCCAAATTAAACTATAAACCAAAATTATATATTATATATAATATACTAGCTGCAACTTTATAAACATTCAAAAGTTCAAAAACCCACATCCTATGCATTCATATTCACCTGTGAATTGGCATCAATTTCGAGCAGGCACCTACCCCAATTGTACTTTAGACCTATGAATTCTGACCCTGGGCTGAATGATCATTCTCCCTATAATATATATCTAAAGAATGTATAAAATTATAAATACATATTAAACTCTTGTTTTATAATAAAAATAATAAAATAAAGTTTTTAAATTTTAATTTTTAAGGGTGTTATTTGGGCCTTCTAATTAGTTAAGCCCAATAGAATCAAAGAATGGACCAAAGTTCCCCAAACCATATTAAAAACTGCACCAAACGATTTGGTCTGATTTGATTTCCATGCTAAAACGGTTTCATTTGGTTTGAAAAATTCTCAAACCATAATTTATTTGTTTGGTCTGAGATATTTTCTAAACTACACTAATTGGACTGATTTGATTTACCTCAAAGTTCATTTTTTAGAACTTCCATATGATTAATAATTGGACTGGATGCAAATTTAACCCCACCAATTCCAATTAAAATTTGAGTTATATACATTTATTATACATGTATAAGTGAAAAAATAATTATTTGATTACAGCGTTGTGATGAGTACAATTGTACAAACATGAATTTCAAGACTAGAATCTACACTTTTACATTGATAATATTGAGTGCAAGTTTGCATTCATTTTACTCTATTTTTGAATAAAAAAGATCGAAAAAAAAAAGCAACTATGTAATGGTACCAAATACTTGCAAAATTGAATCAGAGTACATTAGTAACAAAGAGCCAGGCTTAGCATGGTTCAGACCAATCCAAAACATGACATGATGCCTGATTAAGGCCAACCTAACCCTAACTTAATAGGGTTCGGACTAGTGCAAACTTACCATTTAAACTGACCTACTGACATTCCACCATGATGGGTGTAATCAAGTTCAGATCTCCTGCCAATAAAATATAATTCAACCCCTACGAACATGATCCAACACCGCACATCTCACCATGAGAATGGGGCCCACCATATATGAGATGTGTGGTGTCTGACTGTGTTGGTAGGGTGTTGAAATGTATTTTAATTAGGGGTGATTAAATGAGTAGGTTCTATCCAAAATCAAATGGAATCGATCTCAAATCAGCTTTGAACTGATCCCTATCCAATCTGTTACCCGATTTATTCCAAATTCTTGGAATTGACCCCCACCCAAGTTGGTTCCAAGGTCTAGAGGTTTACCCTATCCAAACTGGTCCAATGAACCAGCCTTGGTTGGCCTTGATGGAACCAGCCTTTAAATCAAACTTGTCTTGAAATAAATCTCAAAATATTCTTAAGGATGTCAAGATTTAAATCCAAGCACTCATGTTTACAAAAGCCATAGTCTCACTTTACCATTGAGTTATTTAAGTAATTCGATAATTTGTTTTCATTTTAATATTTGAATGTGTATAATAAATAATGTAAAAGGTAATATTTACAAAATTTAAATTATAGTGACACATTTTGAACCATATATTAACATATTATGATAATCTACATATTAAATTACTCAACTTAATCAATAAAAATAATATTAGTCTTAAACTATATATTATCATTATTGAAAATCAAGTTTTTAAAAGACATGCTTCTTTTTTTTTTTTTTTTTGAAAGGAGAGAGTAAAGAAAGAACAGGTTCAATGCGTAGACCTTAGAGTCAACCCCAAAACTGACCTTCATAGAGTAGGTTCCGGTTCCAAAAACCTATAGGGGTATGTTCTAGGTTCCGCCATAGAACCAAATCGAATCGACCCATTCTCACCCCTAATTTTACTATTTTATTGGCAGGTGATCCAAGCTCATAGGAGACTAGGACCAATGGCTTTTCACCAATGTTGTCAAACTAGAACCAGAGGAAGTCATCTTAGCAACTAGGTCAGGGAATGAATGGTTAAATCATCTAGTTTGACTAGGGCTGTCAATGGACTTGAAAAATCTGATACGGTTCGACATCTAGATCGGGTGCAGGTTTTACTCCATCTCATCTGCTAAAAGTCTGAGTTCAATTATATGGCCCCATTTGGATCGTAGGAATATGGATCTGGAATTGGAATTAGAATCAGAATCGGAATGGGGTATTCCGATTCCAACTGTTTGGTTGGGCGGAATTGGAATTTCATTCTCATTCATACTGGCATTCTCCCATTTGAGGGAATGATCATTCCCTGCCTCTCCCTTGGGAATGAAATGCCATTACTGTTTATTCCAATTCTCATTCCCATTCATGTCTAAGCCAAACTGACTGAGAATGGACCATTCCAATTCCGATTCCAAAGGATTTCGATTTTGGTTCTGATTCTGATTCTAATGCAGACCAATCGGACCCTAAGTAACATAATAAGGCATGTATATCAATATAAAAATAAAATTTTTATATACATTTTTGTTATATATGTATACATTAAAAATAATTATTTTTTATTTTTCTCTTTATTTTAATAACAAAATAAAGAGGAATTGGATTACATCCAAATCTAGTCCAAACTCTGAAATATTGGATTCGGATTTGGAGTTCTCAATAATCGGATGAGATTATGATATAGCTAAATCGGATCCAAACCCGACCCCATTACAGCCCTTAGTTTGACTATTTTTAAATTTTCATTTCATTTGATTTAGTTCCAAAGTTACAAGGAACAAAGAATTGCCAATTCACTAGACTACACATGCACATCCATCCATATTTCTTACTAGTTGGGTCCCGACTCCCGTGTGATGCACATACTTTTTTAAGCGAATTTGACACAGAAAGACCTCTTATGACATTCTCAATCGAGTCAAATCGATAGTCCAACTCAAGCGTCATTTTTTGGTTATATCTAACTTGCACAAATTTTAAATTATAATTAAATAAAAATTTAAACTATAAAATTATTTTAAATTTTATTGGCCAGAAAATAAACAAACTAAGACACGATGTACTAACAATAGGGGTGAGTATGGGTTGGTTTAGCTAGGTTCCAAGGCAAAACCTGGGATTGACCCCTACATTCTAGGTTATTGGAACTGGAACCTACATGTCAAGATTATTTTTGGGGTCTATTCATTCAACCTATTCTTTCTTTACCCCCCCCCCCCCTCTCCTTCCAAAAAATGGAACATATCCTTTAAAAACAAAACATAATAATAATAATAATAATAATTATTATTATTATTATTATTATTATTATTATTATTAAATGTAATTTTACATTTCAAATATTATCAAATTTATTGTTGAGTGAAATAAATAATATTTATTCTTAAATGCAATTTACTTGGTAAAATTAAAAATTAATTTTCTTTTAAGTGAAATTTGATTATTTAGCCTATAACAATATTCCATTGAATACCAAATGGGTTGATTTTTACTGTAAAGTAAATAATATTTATATTAAGTTAATTTAATTTGATTAATTTAATTATATTTTGATTGAACTTAATTTTTAATAGTAATTATAATTAAATATAAATATATCTAATGGATAGAATTAATGAATTTTAAGCAATTTAATGAAATAATTAAGTGGATAGATAATTAGTGGCATGAATAAGATAAAGAGAGTTCGACTTTAGTCAGGGCACGTCCTATACACGCTATGCGCACTTAACTAACCGACCTCAAACGTACGGTAGATATTTCGCACGGTGGATGTGCCTGTGAGGCGCCCATGGAGCAGATCCCGTTCCCCATTACCCCATATCAACACAGTTACATTATTTCGAAAATGAGTAATAGTTTTCGACACTTCTCGCTCCTCTCTCGCAAGGGTTGTCTCTCTCTCTCCTTCCAACCGGCGGCCACCAACAACCAGGCGCACGGAGTCAATCTCAGGTATTGAAATGTCATTCTTGCCTCTAGTAAAACATTGTCAATACTCTCTTCGATCAATTTTATTCTCTCTTTGAAGAACTGTTGTTTCTTTTTTTGGATAAATAACCATGGGCCCATGCCCTTAAACATCTTTTACTCGGTTTAAGTGGCCACATGACCATTCCTATATGGTAATACAAACAATTAACAATAAAAGGTTGATTAAGCAAATTGATAGTCATAAGAGGTGTTTTAGTAAAATATAAATTATATATTGATTTTAGCAAATTATATATAGGATTGAAAAGTTATCCAAAATCAAAAAAAAAAACATCCCAATCAGACATTAGAGTGCAAAGTTATGGCCTTCAAAAGTTTTGCATGTATTGAGTGTGCAATCCGTGACCCGATCATTAGGACGAACGGGTCA